CATATTGGTTTGCAATTATCATTCGTTAATTTATTACTTTAAATAAGGTAAATATCAACAGGTATCCATTATGTATTCTTTAATTTTAGAATTAATATAAAAAGTGTATTAAAAATGATAAAAATGTTAAAAAATATTTTAAACTAAGTGAAAAGCACTAAAAAAAAAATGAAGCATTTACGTACAAATCCTTATTTATAAATAAGTCTTAATTAAGATTTTTTGAACCTTTAAATCCCATTAAATTTTTAATATTGGAATTACCTTGCAAAATTGAAATAAAAATGAAAAAAATGATAATGTTCTTAGTTTTAAAAATAAAAAAAAAACAAAAAAAAAACTTATAATGTTCTCAGTTTTATTGGATAGTTGAATCAAACCAATAAGTAGAAGGACAAAAATATTTAATCTCATGTTCTGTTTTTTCCCCCCAGTTAGTGAAACAATAATCTAGAACATTATTATGCAAAATATTCTTAGTTTTAAAAATTAAAAAAAAAATTGATAATATTCTCAGTTTTATTAACTAGGACTTATTGATTTAAAAAATCTTAGATATGCCTTGAATTATCATAATATTTGTAAATAAGACTTTTAAGTAATTAACTTAAAAAAATTAGTGAATAGTATCTTGGGTTTTTTTTAGCTCTTAGTTGGCTCTTAATACTTATTAACATGACTTTTATTTTAAAAATTAGGGAAAATTATTTATAAATCCTATTAGGGAGACTTATACTACATATGGTCATTTTAAAAAATTTATATTTCCATAAGTCCTGTAGGAAGTTTGTTGACACATTTACCTTCAATATTAATTGTTAATATTATAAATAATAGTAAAACCATATATAGGAAATTGAATGTTACCATAGATTATATCTATATAAACGTAACGTGACACCTATGATCTATGGTAACATGCAATTTCCTAATTGCATGTTACCATAGATCATATCTACATAAACGTAACGTAACGTGATACCTACATAAACGTAACATGACACCTACAATCTATGGCAGAAATTGAATATTGCCATAGATCATATCTACATAAACGTAACGTAATGTGACACCTATATAAACGTAACGTGACGCCTATGATCTATGTCAACATTCAATTTTCCTATATAAGAAATTGAATGTTATCATAGAACGTGACACCAACATAAACCAGTAACATTTTCACATTCAATTTAAAAAAATAAAAACTCATTAAGTTTGCGAAACGTAACGTGACACGTTACGTTACGTTTATGTAGGTGTCACGTTATGTTACGTTTATATAGGTGTCACGTTACGTTACGTTTCGTTTATATAAGTGTCACGTCACGTTACGTTTATGTAGTTACGTTTATGTAGGATCTTGTGGAATGCATTCTTATCTAAATAAGACTTAAGACTCTATAAAAAATTATACAGGACTTAACTTACCATAAGTGTCTAAAAAAAGACTTATAAATAAGTCTCCTAAAAAATTATATTATTTCAATTTTCAATATGATCCATAAAACTCCTCACTAATCCCACATAACATGAAAAATGCTATAAATTTTAAATAATTTATTAAATTTTTTATTAAACTTTTCACATGACTAGAATATGAGGAAAAATGCCTCAGACTCCCAGTGAGCACTGGGATCATGAATAGAGACTTTCCATTGGTCAAAAAAAATTATTATTATTTTTTTTTAATAATTTAAATGAATGACACGCTACCATCTCACTGAGGTCGACCCCCAGCTGGGGTCTGCAGCAAAATTGGAATATGAGACCATGCAAATTCGCATGTGCACAATCCTACACTCATAAGGAGCTTAATAAAACTGACATAGAATTCCAGGTACAATGAACGAGAGTAGATGTGACTAGTAAACCAAATGGAAACGAAAGAACAACCATACCGTCCAAAGTGACTACAAAAGCATTGGAAGAGGTAAGAGACCTCCAATAGATAACTTAAAACTCATTTTTTAAATAGAATAAAAAAGTCATTCGCCAAAACATAAGTTTCAATAGGTTCCCTGGAGTATTTTAGAAAGATAATTAAAAATTAATTTTTTAATTTTTATTTTTTAGATTTTTTAATTTTTTTATTAAAAAAATAAATTAAAAATTAAAAATAATTTTTAATTCACTTCTCAAAATACTTTTGACTCCTTAAATTTAGCAAACGTTATAATAATCTTATATTTGAGGAGTTACCTAACCATTATTCAAGGTTGTATTAGACAGGTATTTAAAAAGGATTAAGAAAAAGACAAAAGAAATATAATTGTAATATAAACTATTTTTTATGGAGAACTTACAAAAAAAAAATAATAAAATCAAAATCAATCAATCAACATTTGATTTAAATTTTAAATTAATATTTGGATAAAAAAAAAAACTTGGTCAATAAATTTTTAAAATTATTTTTTTTTCTCTCCGGCATCCTTCTCTCTTTTTTTATTTATTAATAAATCAATCAATCACTTTTTTCTCTTCTCTCTCTTCTCTTATTTTCTTACATTCTACACATTAATCAATCAAATTTTCTCTCACGTATATCTATTCAATTACAAAATAAATAAATAAATAAATGAAAATTACAAATCATCTTAAAATTATTTTCAAAACTCATAACTAAACAAATTTTTAATTTTTAAAACTCTTTTCAATAACTTATCTTTCAAAATACAACTCAAAACTCTAACAGAGTCTCAGAGTTTGACTATTGTAACAAAATAAATTATGAATTCTTAATTTTGCCAATTTAAAATTATAAACTTTTTATTAATTTTCAATCTAACATATTTATCTGTTTTCGTTAAGTAAATTGCTTAAAATAATGATATTTTACGGATGGGTGAATTATTTTAACGGTCCCTATAGTTTGGATCTTGTGTCACTATGGTCCCTGACCTTTTAATTGTGACACATTTGACCATAAATTTTGAATCTTGTTCAAAATAAGGACAATTGAATATATCATTGCTTAATTTCAAGGGCAAAATTGTCAATTTGATAAAATATAAATTAATCTAAAAAAAACAAATGTCAAAAAAATATTTTTGAATTTTTAAAAATTATTTCTATCGACTACAGATAAATTTATGTAAAATTGATAAATCTATTAGACATTTATTTATTTTACCAAATTAATTTTTATTATGTGTTTGGATGATGATCATGTAATGGGTGGTTATTTTTATTTTCATTAAATTAGTTTATATTTTTTCAAAACTCAAATATGGTGACAAATTTGATATCATTATTAAACTAATCCATTAAATCAAAAAAATTAAAACTAAAAACATTTCATATATTAAATATTGATTACACATTAAAATCCTAATAACCACCCATTACATGATCATCATTCAAGCATATAATAAAAATTAACTTGGTAAAAAAAATAAAATAAATAAATGTCTAAAATATTTATCGATTTTATATAATTTTATCTTTGGTGGATAGAAATAATTTAAGAATATTATTTTGACATTTATTTTTGTTAAATTAGTTTATATTTTATAAAATTAACGATTTTGCCCTTAAAATTAAATAATGGCATTTTAATTGTCCTTATTTAAAATAAGATTTAAACTTCATAGTCAAATGTATCACAATTGAAAAGTCAGGAATTAAAATGACATGAATCTCAACCTATAAGAATAGGGGCAATGATTGGTGACCACAAATTCTGTGGCTCAAATGGCTCGAAAATACCAAAACGACGTTGTTTTGGGTACAAAACAACTCTAAAAATGTCAAAACGACGTCATTTTGACATTTTTGAATCATTTGAGCCACAGAATTTGTGACCACCAAACATTTTCCTAAGAATAGTATAATTCGCCCTTTACTCATTAAGCTCACCAGAAAATTATATTTAACAAGTCATAAGAACGAAGCCAATCAACCAGTCATTGGCCGTTCAACCATACGCGGCATGGTGAAAACTTTTACCCTAATACCTAATCATGTTATTTATTTATTTATTTTTGAGTCACAATGGTTGGAATGAATTCATGGCATACATGTTGAGGATTATGGAAATGATGCCTTTCATTTTGTTATTCAACAAGAAAAAGAGATTCGGCGTTTTGCCAGTACTGTTCCAAACCCGACAACAACCGGTGATATTGAAAGCATGGTGATGTATGCTGGGCAAAGTGTAGGCCTCATCAAGGAAATTTTACCGACAGGTGAAGTGGTAAAGAGGCTTGTTGTTTTACACCATCGCGAGGGCTCCGTCAAGGAGATCCATTATCCCCCTATTTGTTTCTTCTAGTAATTGAGGTACTCTCAAAGCTTCTGCACCAAGGCCTCAGGGAACATCAATTTTCTTTTGTTACTCTCTTCAAACTCAAGTTGGTTAGTTCCTATCCTCCTTGAGTTTGAGGGGGGCTGTTAATGTACACCTAAACCTACTCCACTAAACCTAACCCACTACACCACTCCACCTCCACTTCACCTACTCCACTACACACTCCACTTCACCTACTCCACCACTCCACCTCCACTTCACATCTCCATCTCCTATATAATGTACATACAATACATCACAACATACATCAATCAATAATACATCAATTTTAACAGTTGAGATCTTTATTTGTCTTCCAATTGGACTTAAATATATGCTCAAGTATACTTGAGTTTCAAACACCATTTGTATCATCGAGTGATGACACCTAATCTTCATCTTTGGAGACAAATAGACTCAATTAAAGGGTGGGTTGGGGTATATTCTGTTTTTGGATTTAATACGAGACATAGGTGTAATTTGGTTAATCTTAGTGCACTTTTGTTTGAAAACAAAAACAAACTTGTGGGATTTCTAGACTTGATATTGATAAGTATAGATATTTGTTTGATTGAACCAAAATCGGTAGCCCATATCATTTTATGAAAAATGATATATAAAAATAAATAATAAAACTCACCATCCGGAAAATGTTCTTCTCTTTCTTTTTCTTTTTATTTTCTGGGGAAAGGGGTGGCGAACATTTTACAAGAATATTTACTTCATATTCTTGTGCTATTCAATTTGTGAAATGTCATTTGATTGTGTTTTAATCTGTTTGTCTTGCCAGGAATCACCAGATTACGTGAGGGATTTGATAAGGAAGACTAGGACCTTGACTGATAAACCATTTGGGGTCGGTGTTGTTCTAGCATTTCCTCACAAGGAAAATATAAAGGCCATACTGGACGAAAAGGTTGCTGTATTGCAACTTTACTGGGGTGAATGTACAGAGGAACTAGTCCTTCAAGCTCATCAAGCCGGTGTGAAGGTTGTTCCCCAGGTAGGTGTTTTGTGATATTTTTATTAAAAATAAAATAAATAAAAGATGCATCTTCCGTATCTCATGAGTTTCAATTTACTATAAGGTTGGGAGGGTTGAAGAAGCGAAAAAAGCTATTGACGCTGGTGTAGATGCGATAATTGTCCAAGGGCGGGAAGCAGGAGGGCATGTAATTGGTCAGGTATGAATGATGCTATTCAACTATTTAAGTTATATATATGCAATTTTATACTGTTGTAGAAAAAACTTAAATAAGTAAATCATAAGATGCAATAAAAAATTCATTGTTAATGATTTAGAACCTCTGTCTACGACTCTTATGTCCATGAACATCTCCGTTGTTTATCTCGTCAGAGACTTCTACCCTTTGTCAGACATTGAGGTTTGTAAGATTTACTAATACAGAGTATAAACTAATAATAATATATACTAATTCGTTTTCATAATTCTGACATCCTTCTTCTTGACGTGTTTGACTGTTTCCAGGATTCGTTGTTTTCATTGGTGCCAAGAGTAGTTGATCTTGTTGGTGATCAAGATATACCAGTAATTGCTGCTGGGGGAATCGTAGATGGACGTGGTTATGTTGCCGCTTTGTCTCTTGGTGCACAGGGTATCTGTTTAGGCACTAGGTTAGGAACCGTTTCACCTGGATTGTATTGAACTTTCTTTTTTAGGCATTTTGACAAGCTGTTCCTTGCTATTTAACAAGCAGCCTTTTGGATTCCACAAAATTGTGAAATTGCCCATTTTATTTCACAAATAATTTTGAAATGAGTTTGCTGACAGACCATTTTATTTTTTATGTAGGTTTCTCGCAACAGAGGAAAGCTATGCCCACCCAACATACAAGAGGAAGTTGGTTGAACTTGAGAACACCGAATATACAGATGTATTTGGCCGTGCAAGGTGGCCTGGGGCACCTCATCGTGTCCTCAAAACACCTTTCTTCCAAGATTGGAGAAATCTTCCTAGTCATGAGAACGAGGCCAATCAACCAGTCATTGGCCGTTCAACCATACACGGCATGGTGAAAACTTTTACCCTAATACCTAATCATGTTATTTTATTTTATTTTATTTTTTATTCACAATGGTTGGAATGAATTCATGGCATACATATGTTGAGGATTATGGAAATGATGCCTTTTCATTTTGTTATTCAACAGGAAAAAGAGATTCGGCGTTTTGCTGGTACCGTTCCAAACCCGGCAACAACCGGTGATATTGAAAGCATGGCGATGTATGCTGGGCAGAGTGTAGGACTCATCAAGGAAATTTTACCTGCAGCTGAAGTGGTAAAGAGGCTTGTTGAAGGGGCTCAACTCCTCATCCATCAAAGATTTGATGGTGAAATCTCAGGAAGAAGCAAATTAGTTTGAGTAACGATATTCAAACATAATTTTTATACAAAATTTATATATAGAATGATATAATTTCTGATAATCTCTTTTTATTTCAAAGCAAAACACTTATAATTTCAAAAACAATAATGCTTAGTAGTCCGAAAATTCTTGGTTGAAATGACTCGAATATGTCAAAACGACGCCGTTTTAATACATTCGAGCCATTCAAGCCTCACAAATTCAGGTCACCAAGCATTTTTCTTTCAAAAAATATTACTGTTATATCATTCTGAATGAATTCTTTGTATTAAAATTATGTTTGTAAATAATTTTCTAATTGCTTTATTATGGCATGCCTTGGTATCCATGGTCTCTCTCTCTCTCTCATATGCTTTTTTTCTTTTGTTTTTTATTTTTTGTTTTAACTTGGTGGTGTAGTGGTGAGAACTTACAAATGAATTGGATGTTGTAAAAATAAATTGTCAAAGTCACTTCAATTGTGTGAGGCAAGTTAATTTGCAGTAAGTGCTTGTAATTATATGATTCTTATATATTGTGTAATAATTAAATGTATGGAAATTTGTGTAAAAAACATGTGTCATTTTATTTTTAAAATTTGTGTAAAAATATTTGATACAAATTTTATTTATCACTTATGTGGTAAAAATAATTAAAATATTTTAAAAAAAAATTAATTGTTAAAAACCCTTGAAAATAATACTAGTTGCTTGCTGGTTTGAAAAGCGGTCGACCTCATCATGTTCTTTAGGACCTCTATAAAATTTATAAAACCTTTGTTTAATTTAATTAAAGTGTTCCGGAATTTTCGGTTTGACTTTCATCCTCAAAACGTGTTTAGTACAAGAACCATCGTTAGTTCATGGATTTGATCTTAATTAGTTGCGTTTTGGATATTGGGACCCAATAATCACTTTTCATCAATTTTTTTTATTTTATTTATGTACACATGTTACAATCCCAATTGATTGGTGTAAGGGGTTCGAGAGGTGATTAAAAAGATAAAATTATGTTAATGATCCAATAATGGTGAAAGTAGCCGGAGAATGAGTAGTAGCAATTGTCTGGGAGTTGGAGAGTGTGTAGCTAGGTGAGGGTGAAACAAGTGGCTCAAGTGACAGTGCCAAAATGGGTAGCATCTCCTTTAAATCCCTCAAATTTTTCTTCTTCAACATTGGGAATGGGTCCTATTTATAGGCTTTTCCTTGGCGCCAAGAGGACACCAGGTGGCCAAATAGAGAGAAGATATGTGTTCTAGAGGATCACATAGAATATTTTTCCTTGAACCACCAGGCTGAAGGTGCCACGTATCCCTTTGCATGTACTGTGTACTATCTATTTCTCTCAACAACTATCTCTTTGAGCCTCAGCAAGTGTAGTTGCGACGAGAGTGTTTGGCGTGGCAACTCCCCTTTGAGCCTCAGCAAGTGCAGTGTCAACGGGCGTGCTTGCCTCTGCACTTGCATTCTCAGTTTGAACTTCAGCAAGTGCACTTGCAGCGGTGAACCTTGCCGCTGCATCTGCCTTCTCAATTCTATTTAGCCAGTACATGCATTGCTAGGACTCTATTAGTCTGCTATCAACTATGTTTATGCCCACCTCAGCGAAGCTTCCACCCTTAGCCACCTAACCACAAACTCCCCAGCTTCCCAAGGCGAAGGCCACAACCAAGCTTGCTATCAGTCATGCTGTGCTTTAATACCAAGCCCAAGGGGGCTTCCTTAGTCCTGCCTGTGCGACTAAGGCAGGTTCATAGCCTGGGTAATGGAAAGGAAGTCCCCCATGTTCGGGCTACCTGGCTCCCATCTTCACGGGGTTACGGCAGTAAACTGGTATATCTGGGTCTGCTACCAACTTCAATCAGTAAGTTTTAGGGGCCTGCTATTAGTGCCAAGTTAATAAATTGTTGGACCTGTTATTAGCCCTAGGCTAATAATGTCTTGAGGCCTGCTATCGGCACCAATCATTAATCTCTACTTGCAAAGGGAAGTCTCTCTCAAAGGTTGCTATCGCCTTGGTAGGATATTCCTTCTGCAACTTAGTTGTCATAGTAGTAGTTGCTGCAGTAGTCATTTTCAGTGGCAAGTTCAGACGGCATGACCGAAGATATTAGCGATGGCGGCATCGACAGAATGCCTCCGCAACTTGGGCGCTGCAAGTATTGCCTCTGCAACTTAGTTGCTAAATCTTTACCCCTCGACAACTCTAGATGGTCGTGACACCGACATTACTTGGAATGGCAGTGGCACCGAAGATACTTGGAATGGCGGCACTGAGACAAAGTGCCTCTGCAACTTTGCCGTTGCAAGTGTTGCCTCTGCAACTTAGTTGTATTGGCTTTTCTCTTTCTCTCAGCAACTTCGGATGGCGGCGGAACCGAAGATATTCGGAATGGTGGTGCTAAGGCAAAGTGCCTCAGCAACTTTACTGCTGCACATGTTTCCTCGGCAACTTCACCGCTGCAGGTGTTGCCTCTGCAACTTGACTTGGATATTTTTCTTCACGGAGTCTATCTGGAGCCCTAGTGGGTTAGACCTGCCTCGGTCCACTTGTTGGCCCACTTTCCTTGGACTTTGGCCCATGCTCTTTTTTTTTTAATCTCTAGTCACCTTTTCGGGGCAATCTCAGTGCTTGGGTCCATACTTAGTTTGGGGCTTAATTTCTAACCCTCTACAATTAGGTTTAGGACTAGGAAAAGATTATAGTGCACATCTCTTATATGGTGTGTATCGTATGTAATTTATAATAATAAAATATATATAATTTTATATTTTTGAGTCATAACTAAAAAAAAATATAACCAAATAGTGCGTGAGATATAATAAAAAATTTCATGAATCATAACTAAAATAAGATCATAATTAAAGAAGAAAATTAATTATAATTAAAAAAATTATATAACTTAGGAGTACATAAAATAAAAGGTAATAATAGTAAAATTTCCCTTTGGACTATCATGTTCAGTCTAATTTTTCAATCAAATATCATTTTTCACCTTTTAAATGTGATTATTTCATTATTCCAAAATAACAGTCAGTATCTTTATTTTATAAATCTTATGAAGAGATTTTAAATGTTTATTAGTATTTTAAACTTCTTCGTTCATAGCATGCAACTTATAAGACACGCATCAAGTTGTGATTTGTGATCCGGTACAACAAAGGGGCACAAAATTGACGGTTTATTATATTTTGGATAAATTACAAATATACTCTTTTAAGTTTGATTAAAATACGAATCATCTCTTGTGATTTTAGAAATTACATTTCACCCCCTAAGATTTCTAATTTCATAACAAATCGCTCTTTTTATTAATAAATCATCAAGTCAATTAACAGTTTTTAATAATGTTAGAAATATGTTTCAATTAATAATTTATGTAATTTTATTATTGTATAAGAGAGTAATTATAAATTTTATTTTTTTAGTTAATTCTGTTAAATAAAAAATACTAACAATGAGATATTTTTAATTTTTCAAATCACGTGAGGCAATCTATACTTTAAGCAAACCTCATGAAGTGTATTTGTAATTTATCCTTATATTTTTGTTTGATCAACTTATATGTAATAAGAAAATTGGATAAAATTCATATTATCTCTTTTTTGGGTTTAACTCTAGATTACTTCACCACGTCTTTTAAAAATAGCTAACCATCCCTCATATGATTTTAGTTGTTTGCAATTTATCTACCCCCGTTACATATTCCATTTAAATTGACAAACTTTGTCATACATGTGCAGAAAGGGAGAGTAGGTATTGCAAAAAATTAATAGGGTAAATTATACTAATGATTCTTATAGTTTGAGACTTGTATCATTTTAGTTCCTCACTTTTCAATTATGACATATTTAACTCTAAATTTTAATGACATTTCTTAATCTCCCGTTTTGCAACCCTACTCCTTCCACGAGACTAGTGGAGGACCTATAAATCTAGAGGTCTACCTTTATATCCAAACATAAGATTCAAAACCAAACAGCATACATAAGTTATTAACAGAAACTTTCGTAATTCCAAACAAACACTAAAGATGTTAAAAATGTGTGATTAGTGAACCCCAAGTGGTTGGCTTAGTAGTTGTAGTTTTGAGTTTGGAGGGATGTTTTTTTCAAGTCTTAAGTTCAACTCCCATTAGATGTTATCAAATTTTTGGAGGCCACGCCCGCCAACACTACCCGATCTATATGGAGGGGCACTTTACATGGATCCCGTTATTAGTCGAGGTACGGATAAACTGGTCCAGATATCTGGTCATACAAAAAAAAAAAAAAATATATGATTAGTATAGATCTCAAACTCTTTTATAAGTTCTAGATTCTCAGATTATATTGATCAGCCTAATACAATTAAAGTAGATTTACAAAGAATATATGTCTTTGGTTAATGATAAATATGATTCAATTCAACCAAAAAAAAAAATTATAAATTATAATTACATTCGCAAGTATTTTTATCATTATTTTTGGTGGGCTGGAATTCATGACAAATAGAAATTGTGCTTAGGACGAACTAATTTGAAAATGAAAACAAAATTATTTTCTCACAGAGAAATTTAGTTAGCTCTGTTTGGATTATGAATTTGGATATAAATTTTTTTTTTAAAAAGGTGAGGGAGATATGAATGAAATATAAGGTTTTTTTTTTTTCATTTCTTTTTCCCTTTTCAAATTCATACTTAAATTCACGATCTAAACACAAGATTCGAAAAAATATTTGAGATCCTTAAAAAAAAACTCTTATAATTTGACTCGCAATAATGTGATAATGATGGCTATGAGCTTGTGGAAATTTGCCACATGATCTTCATGTATTTGGCTTTGAGGCTTCCAGTTTTACCGTGGTTTTTATCTCTTTAACTAATTATGTGTTTGTTTAGTTAAGTTTAATATTATGGTGCTATTTATTTTGGTTTCCCATATTTGCCACCAAAAAAAAAAAAAAGAGTACTTGGGTAGCCATATGGGCCAAGACAGGCTGAGCTTTAGGCCACGGCCCATTTATACATTTTGAAAACCGAATAGTAGCCCTATTTCAGATCTTCTAATTTCTAGGCCCAAACAACAATTTTATAATTTTTCTTTTGAACCCAAAAAATAATTTTATAATTGATTCAAATAAATGCCACATTTGTGGGCTTTTTAGTAAAAGTCAATTGCGTAGAATAATGAGATTTGGCGGGCTGTGCGTGGCCTTTCGTAAAACAATAATGATAGAGACTACTAATTTTGAAACTCTAAAAAGATCACTAATGACATGATATTCAATAAAAAAAGAAAAAAAATATAAAATCAAGACCAAAATATCAAATCATTCATGGTGGGACCTACTGCTACATCATTAGTGATAGCACTAATTAGTACTCCCACTCATTTTCCTTCGAAAAATGAAAGGCTTTAAACCATTTGTAAATTTCTCTTATTATTTTGTACTGACTTGTTTTTAATACAAAGAAGTGTTCGAGTTCAAGACCTCCACACAAAGACAAAGTAAAATCTATGACCACATGACAACAAT